TTTAACCGGGGGTTGTTTTTGGGTTTTTATTGGGGGGTTGTGGCCCCTTGGTTGGTTTATTGGTTTTTTTTTTTTTCCGGTTTTTTTTTTTTTTTTTTAAAAAAAATTTCGGGTTTTTTTTTTTGGGGTTGGCCAAAAAAGAAAAATTTTTTCCCCGCCTTATTTTTTTGTTTTCCCGATTGTTTTTTTTTTGTTTTGGGGCCCCGCAAAAAAGGGGGGAATTTTTTCCTTTTTGGTTTCGGGGGTAGTAACCGGTGACTCGAAGGGGCACCCGCGGTGCTGGTGTTAAATCAATGAGTAGGTGGTTGGTTGGTCCTACAGAAAATGCATACCTTCCTACATAGGCAGCGAGATTTGTTTGTTGCGGGAGGGCGGGGCTTGGGCTGGTGTTTCAACCCCCCTGGGAGGTTTGACGGAGAGCGGGGGGGGGGGGGGGGGCAGAGCACTTACTATTTTTTCTTTGTGTGTGGTTCCACGCAAAGAGGTATCTGATCTCGTGTGGGGAGGCTGCTTCATAACATATACCTGGTACTTCGTATTTGTTTACTACTTGTTTCCACATAGTCCTTGACTTCTTTGTGGGGCTTCCCCAAGATTGTTGGTCTAAAGCGTTGAACATGCACAGATACGCCTGGCTTCATGGCTGCCGGTAGTGCATGTGTTCGCCGCCACCACCCACGATATATATATGCTGTATGAACACGTTGTTGTTGCTCGTAGAAAAGAGCAGTAGTGACAATAGAGTACGGTCTCTCTCTCAGTCTCTCTACCCGTTTATCTCGGGGATGAAGTATGCCATGGACGGACGGAGCATTCCGTGGTAACCTCAAGTGTCGTAACGAAATCCCAGGCCGTTCGTTGCCTCCTGGCGGTGGTGTGACTGACTGACCATCCCCGACTACCGACACAACGATATGCGCTCATCCACAGTATTTAGTTCCCAGTGAGGACGCCTGGCTTTCCCGGAAACAAACACGGAGGGAGTGCGGCCACTAGTTGAAGGTGCCCCCCCCATACCACCGTTTTCGCGTTGTAGCTCGGCGCACCATCGAACATGCACGCACGCATGAAGCGCACGAAGGAACAAAACAAGACAGAAACCCCTGAGAGCAACTCACCTCACCAGCGAATGCCGGTCGGGTATTCCTTCTTCCAAACCAGTTGCAAAGCTCGAAACCCGGACGAAAAAACTAGGCGTGTGTGTGTGTGCAAAGACCGCAACTACCAACCTCTCTGTTGTCTTTCTTTGTGGAATGAGCAGCGAAAAAATATTTATTTGTACACGTCTTCGTCCAGAAGAACACTACCATTATTGGATGAGAACGAAACGAAAAACAAAAAATCTGTCTCAGACTCTTTTCTATGATAGAGATGGTTTCGTTGTGTCATACTAAGAAAAAAAAAATATATATATATATATATATACAAGGTCTCCCTTCGGGACGTGGGTGTCTACCCTCCCTCAGGTGACGCAAGACCACATGTGCATTGCCCGAAGAGGGACTGTGTGTCTTACAACGCTTGTATTTCCGCACAAAACATCGCGCACGTTGTTATTCTACATTAGAGCAAGCTCGAGCGAACAATATTTTGGCAGCGCAAGACTACCATGATGTCTTTGATTGATGATGGCAGATTTCCGATGAGAACCGAATTTGAAGCCGAAACAACACCACAAATGGGACATGTTCACCACTGCGGCTGGATGCATGTTCTCAGACTTGTCTACATTTGGCCCGCTGCGAAGTGTAGTAAACGTAGGTACTGCTGTTGGACAATGCGATGACACGAAGAGTCACAGCCAGCCATGAATCATCGAATGAATGAATGAATGAACGAATGAAAGTGGACAATCAAGAGGCAAATATTTCAAACCGTCGTATTTGATGGGTTTGATAGGTTCGCCAGGCTTTGTCAGCGCGGAAAGGGTCCCCGGGGTTTTGAGCCAGTTTTCGCAACTTTGGTCGTCAACCACACGCGCCACGGAGGCCTACCGAGCTCCAGGCACGGGCGTTAATGTACCGACGAGCCTCCTGCATGCCCCTGAGAAGGAACCGCGAGAAAAGACTCGCTGCCGCGAGAGAAAGAAACGCCGAAGCATGAAAAGTGACCAAATCTTATATGTACATATATATGGACGCGTTGACGTCACCGGCCACTCTCCAACCAACGGCAGGAGGAGCAGTTCGGGGACGATCGATGAGATTAAGATGGCTGACATTTTGTTTTCTTGCCTTCAAAAAACAGTATTTTAATGCATCCCCATCCGTCAAACAAACAGCAGTGTCCCAAAAGGAATAGGCCGGCTAGCGCCGAGAACAGTATAACTGATGGGAGCCAAAACACAGACCAATCAGACCAGGATACACTCACTCGCATGGGATTCATTCAATATGACCTACAACATTGTACCTATATTTCTACATGCAACAGAAAATAATGCATCTTTATCTGTGGGAGACACAGACAGCTTGGTGGCAATCTTGCATTTGTTTAATCATCATCAGATAATTTTCGACTTTATTTATCAAAGCAACTACGCATCATACAAAAATCACGCACGCCACTCGAACCCCCAGCGCGGCCGCCAAACAAATCACAATCGCGCACTCTTCCAAGCCGCAAAAAACAAACAAACGAACAAATATATACGCAAGAAAAAACCCACTTGAAAGCTACTCCCCAGCGCACCACAGCACACCACAACACGGCACGCTTCGGTTTCCCCTCCAAGAGCAGCAGCAGCGGCACCGGAGGTTTCGCTTATTATAGCTACAATACACGCCCCGGGCCCCCCGGCAAAAATTTGCCCGTTGTTCTGCCAACCTAAGAAGGAGGAGAACAATACCGGCTGAAAAAAAGAAAAATGTCAAGATCTCAGACTTCGACAGACAGGACGAACGACAGAGAGGGGGGTGGGTCCATGACCGATTCCTTCGTCTCCACGAAAAAGTTTCCAACCTTGACACACACACACACACACACACGCGAAAAAAAAAAAAAAAAACTGACAGCAGTCAATTCTATCTCAACAACGACAACCCGATCCCAACACAGACAAAAATAACGAAAAAGGGGGTGTGGCCCCCTCGTCGGATGTCGATGCCAGCCGTCACCACCACAAAGCAGAGATTAACAACGATGAACGATGAACGATGAACGATGCACGATGCACGATGCACGAAGGGTTGGTCACTCTTCCAAGCCAAGCATGGCCATCACTCTTCCAAGCCAAGCATGGCCATCACTCTACCAAGCCAAGCATGGCCATCACTCTACCAAGCCAAGCATGGCCATCACTCTTCCAAGCCAAGCATGGCCATCACCGTGGGCAAGATGCGCGAGTAGCTCAGGTGCCACGTCACTAGGCCACTGGCAGGCACAAAAAAAAAGGAGGGGGGAGGAGGGGGGGGGGTGGCCATGACGGTGTGTTTGTTGCTTGCTGGTCAGGATGGCAGCCAGAATATTTTCTTTAAAATATCGGAAGAAACGCGGAACCAGTGTGGTGGTACACTGGGATTCGTTTTCCTTGCGGATGGATGGATCGGCACAGGGTGCGGAGGACTTACGCAGCAGAGGTCGGAACGGGCTATGAAACAACGAGGACGACAACGACAATAACAACAACAACAACAACAACAACAACAACAACAACAAAGACAGACACAATTTGGCAACGAAGACAACGAAGACAACGACAACAACTAAGACAGACACAATTTGACAACGAAGACAACAGCAACAGCAACAGCAACAAACAGACATAATGCAAAAACAACACCAAGCTGGCCCGACTGAAGAGAACGGGAGAGGTGGCAGACGACGACCGACACATCAGTCGGTCAGCGCTGAATACTCTTGTCTCGCTAGAGACTGTGATGTTGGTCACGCGAGGTAGTTTTCATCCCACGCATGCATTCATTCGCGGTGGAAGCCAGTGCTGAAGAACACACACGAAACACACGACACGACAAAGCAAAACGCATGACAAAAAACAATAAAAACGCGAATCCCACCTCAGATCCACGTTTTCGACGCCGCACCCCTCCACCCTGGACGTTCCCGCGACGCCAACGCTCCACGACTTGCTACGGTACACGAGTGCCAGGAGCCAGTCCCTGGAGCTGTAGCCGTTGATCAGCCGCCCGGCTACGGCGCTGCGCACCCGCTTCCACCTGCGATCATGAGACGCGGGGAAGGGGGGGGCAAGAAACACTTGTAAATAGTAAAAAAACACGCATGATATCCATAAAATATGCATATGTTGGTTTGTATTTTCTTGTTTTTCTAGGAGCACTTCTAGTCAATAATCAGCACTTCATGAAAATGTTGTTTTGTTTTGGTGTACGGGAGCGGTTTGAGTCAATAAACACGCCAAACATGCATACGCTTGTGCAATATTGGTTTTTCAGTCATGTGCTGCGGTACCTTCTTTAAGACTGATCGATCGTCTAATGGGCGGATGCTATGTGGAACGAAAAAAATAATCAAACGGAGCAATGCGAGCGCGCAGCAGCCGCGGTCGGTCGCCGAGAGGTCGATAAAGCATGCACAGCTCACCAAGACACACCACACCACAACCAAACATACATGCTTTCCAAACACCCTTTGGCGTGCGTGTTGACTAAGAAATTACGGGAGCAGTTCTTAGTCAACACGCACGCCAAATACCGTTTGGAAAAGTATGTTGTATGGTTCTTGTTGTTGCTGTTGCTGTTGTTGCTGTTCCGGTTGTGGGTGGCGATGGTTTGTTCTGTCTGATCGTTTCGTAATTTATTAGTCAACACGCACGCCAAAGGGTGTTTGGAAAGCATGTATGTTTGGTTGTGGTGTGGTGTGTCTTGGTGAGCTGTGCATGCTTTATCGACCTCTCGGCGACCGACCGCGGCTGCTGCGCGCTCGCATTGCTCCATTTGATTATTTTTTTCGTTCCACATGGCATCCGCCCATTAGACGATCGATCAGGCTTAAGAAGGTACCGAAGCACATGACTGAAAAAAGCGTGTGACTCTGCAACATACACGTAAGACTATAGAGAATAATCAAGACCTTTTAAGACCTTTCTTTATATTCGATGCGGTTAGCTGAGCTCTTCGATTCTAAACACACCAGCTGTGTGGGCTGTTCGAGCTCGGACAACGTCAGAGCTGGCTGTCGGCTTTTAAGACCCTTTCTTTAATTCGCCCGCTCCGGAGAGCACTGATGTTCTCGAGAAGGGCGGTACAGTATTGTTGTAAACGTATTTGACGGAATGCCTTACACGGGATGGAAGAAGGCCACGGGACCGGCATCTCGTTTTTTATATTTTTTCATTCCATGTTCTCGCCAAGGATAACAAACGAGAAAAAAAAACAGCTTGTGCAAAAGAGGATATTTTTTCTCAGCCATCATACTGTACGACATGTGAGACACTACGACAGCACTGATAGGGACGGCCGTCACAGGACCGAGACGAGGGAGGGCGCACCAGCGTCATGGGGCTCGCATTGAGTCGGAATCGCGGCTCTCCCCGTCAGCGGAGGCGTTTTTTTAATGTTGTATTGTCGGGAGGCAGACGGTTGGCGAAACGATCAGACAGAACAAACCATCGCCACCCACAACAGCAACAACAACAACAACAACAGCAACAGCAACAGCAACAACAGCAATAACAACAGCAACAGCAACAACAACAACAACAACAACCACAACAACAACAACAACAACCACAGCAGATCCGAACTAACCTCCCGCGCTTCGTGCCGATGGGAGTTCCCAACATTACGGCGTTCTCCACGATGCCAAGCCCGCGGCCATTCGGCGCAGCAGCTAGAGCCTCCAAGCAGTTGAAAACCAACTAGAGGGTGGGGGGCGAGGAGAAGGGAAGGGCGGGGCCTCGTTGTGATGTTTGTCGCTGGCCGGAGCTGTTTCCAATTCCTACTCTTTAACACTACATAAGTGGGTTAAACACATGATACACAACAACAACAACAATACAACAAGAAGCCCCTACTTGCCTTAGCCCCCATCGAGTAACCCAGGAGGGTGACAGGCCTTGACCCCACCGGCCTCGACAGCAGCACCGCCGCCAGCAACCGACCAGCCTCTAGAGCGCGCGTCCTCACCACCCCCCAGGGATCGTCCTGCAACCAAAGCATTTCATTCGTCCAGAACAGCAGCGTGTTCAATAGTGGTACAAAACACCTTTTGTATGGATGTTTCATACTGTTGTTTGGATGTTCCATATTGTTGTATGGATGTTCCATATTTTGGGTGTCCAACAGACCAGAGCCAAGAGTTAAGCTTGTCAAAGTTCCATATTGTTGTATGGATGTTCCATATTTTGGGTGTCCAACAGACCAGAGCCAAGAGTTGAGCTTGTCAACGCCCTCATGAAATGCGTCGTTCGAGTACATATTCCAAAGAGACAAGCCTCCGAAACCCTCAATAGTAATCTGGATCGATTGCGTGGCGGGATGTGTGGAGTCGAACAAAATGTTGCGTCTGCTCGTTGCACGAGGCTTTCTTTCGGTTTCGTCAAATTTCGTTGAACAACTTGGAAAAAAAAACAAACGGGACAAAGGAGAAAAAGCAGGAGTGGACAACCAACAAAATAGGCGGGACAAAAAAAAAAATAAAAATAAAAACAAAGGGGGAACAAAAAAAATGGCAAAAGAAAAAAAAAAAACTCACGAGACCGGAAGCCGCCTCTAGGAGCGCCAGGGGAAGAGCCGCGGCTGCCACGACCGGAGCCAAGGCCGATCGCTTCAGGGCCTCGTTCACGGCGCTGCACGAGAACATTGAACGTCACAAAAGCACACGCACAGGGTCATGATGTCATGTGCGTCATGATGCACAAACACCTGTCCCTCTTCAAGGCCTCGGACTAAGCCACGCCACACGCAAATAAAAAAGGACTACACCGGTACATATGCATATCACAAGCACATGCGGAGGGGCAACAACGCCAAATATATTCGCGGAAAAGAGAAACTACCCACGGGCGCGTTGAGGGAATTCCAGACACATTCATATCGCACATGTTTTCTTTTTTTTCTCGTCTGCTTATTAGTTCTCTCTGCACCTGAATACTTGTACGTTGTTATTCATGTATACCTTCTAGAAGCTTTCTTCCACGCGAGGTCTCTCATGGCCGCGTGAAGCTCTGTCAGCGGGCCCCTCTCCCACACCAGCACGTGCTCCTCGCCGCCGCTGACAAAGTCCCTCCACCACGCATGCGACGGCAATGCCTGCCACGGACATGGGCGGGGGGGGGGGGGGGGGGGGGGAACCCTTTTTGTTGGGGGGATTAACGTTTAAAAATTTGGACCCCCCCCCCCCAAAAGGAAGGACAATTTCCCCAAGAAACCAATCCCAAGGGGCCAAACTTCCTTCCCAATTTTTCCAAAGGGGGTCAAAAAAAAAAGGAGGGGGGGGGGGGGTTTTCCATTTTTGGGCCCCAAACCCCCTTGGTTATTAAAAAAAAAAG